ATTTTAATTCTTTTATCATTAAATGTTGAGCCTTGCTGGCTTTGGAAAAGCTACCGTGGCGGGCTAAATGTTACATTTCGGGACAAAAACATGTTATGCATTGACATTCTCTGTCGACTGGAGCCCACAATTTTATGTCGACAGCGACGAACAGTTTTATGCACCCATTGAACGCCTGAAAGATTATCGATCTACAAAACCCGCGTCGCATACCTTTCTGTAACTTGCAAAAGGCTTGTTTTTCATTCCAACTAAAAACGGAAAACAGAACAGCAGCCTTTGCGTTTCAAACAGTTTAGTAGCATCATCTAAAGATATGAACACTTCAAGCATAAGAAAGTTAAGTCAAAGTGATTCCAACACGAAACAATTTAGCCACTACACAGTACACAGTCATGTGCCACTACACGGCACATGACATTGCATACATATTTACATCAAAGGCGTTCTTTGTTTCATCTCCGTTATTATTTTCCTTCTCTTTTCAAGTTTGCTTTCCTGTAAAGGCTGCTCCATTGTCCTACACATACTAATTACTCAGTTTGTAGTAGTGCAAAATCTTTTTTTGTGATATTTGTAGGCGTATCATAGGTTTATAGCATATCTCTGTGCTGCCTTCTTTGGTGTGAGCGAGTTAACTCTAAACATTTCCCGTAGCCCGCTGAAGCGCTGGTTTGGGAGCTAAGGGCGGTCTTTGACTTACCTTGTCAGGCTGAACTCCCATAATTATCGGACACTACTGGAAGTTAATAAGTCAGTACATTCTGAACTAGATACATAGGTAAACGCAATCTGATTAAATGTTGATTATTATGTTACCAACCTACCCTGTTTTAATTGTTAGCCACGTTTTAGTTTATACTTCATCTGAACGTTTGTGAGCGATGGAAACACTCCATGACAATTAAACAAAACGTGCATGATTTATGAGACGTAAAACAAAACAGGTAAAGGCCCTGAAACCAATTCAAAACACAAACATAAATTTGAAGCATCTTGTACGTCACGAGAATGCATGCCACCACTGCATCATGACCAACATTAAGCATGCTAAAAGCGTTGTGAGACCCTTCAGGATTGCGTCTAATTTGACCACCAAGGGTTGTACCCATATGGTTGTATTCTGCACAGTTACCTGACATATATAACTCACTTTTATTGAACGTTTTCGGATAGCATTGGATTTATCGTTGTTGTCCTATCATCATTTCTATCGACAGGTAGATAGGCATTTATAAATCTGCTGTCAAGCGTTCTTCGTTCAAAGATTCAATGGAAAGTTCAAAAACTTCAATGCAATAAAGAGCCGCAAGATTCGTAGAATAACACCAATTAGAAGAGTTAGTAGGTTTAGTCCCTCTATTAGTTGGCAAATATAAATCCATTTAGTAGGTTTAGTGCCTCTATTAGTTGGCAAATATAAATCCATTCAGCAGTTACATCGTTAGCCCCCACTACTAAAATATTACAATCCAGTTAATCCCCTGCCCCCGTAACTCCAAGCTGTCCCGGTAGCCGGAGTCGTTCGCCTGATCTTGGAGACGTCTCACAACGCGAACCAAACCAGAGCGGAACGAAACCGTGCGTGTCGCGTCACGTACCCTACTTACGGGCTCCTCGTTGACGTACCAGTGCAGCTTGACCGGCGGGTACGACCGGTACGAGGAGCAGTTGAGCTTCATCACCTCGCCCACACGGTAGCTGGGCAGGTGGCCACGGATCGACGGTACAGCGTCCGGCAGGTCTGCGGCGGAGAACAGAGGGGAGGTTCGAGTATATCAGAGGTCAGAGGTCAATAGTCAGTCACCGTGTGAGGGTCAAATGGGTCGGGGGTGATAGCTGTCGTAGATCGGGAGTGAGTTTGCAATGCCGGGAAAATGATTCGTCAGATATTTTTTTATAGAAATTACGCAGCTTCATCAGAACGGAGCAGACAGAAGCCTCATTCGCAAAGTTATGACTTATGCAGACGAATCTTATGTCGTCATCAAGCATATCGTCAGCTGAAACTGGGAAGACAACTGACTCATTATTGCACACTTTGAGCGTCTGTGAGGCGTTTATAGTCACGCCTTTGTTGATGACAACTCTGCAGATCTGCAAATCAGCCCTTTCTTCACAACCCGTCGTTCGGGCTGACAAGAACAGGCGATAGATAGGGCTCCATCCCCTCAGCCTTCTGAGAATCAGCGGTGGTCAGCACCCTCCCCCGTGGAGAGGGTCGTGTAAAGGCCAGTAGCAGCCCCGCCGCGGCCGGCTCGTAAGACGACATCAGACGGCCGCCCGCCGGCGCCGATCACTTCTGAGTCAAAGGCGCGCCACTGATCGTCCACTCGGCGGCGGTGCGCCACAACCGTCACAAATCGCTAATCCGCAATAACGCGCCGCCGCCGACCGTCGTCTCTCGCCGCCGCCGACGGAGAGACGACGGGACGGGCCGACGGGCCGACGTCCGACGGCGCTCCTAAACTGCCCCCGGCTTTGTGTGGCGACTAATGCGGGCTGCCGTCGACCGTCGTCCGGCACCAGATGGTATCACCAGATGGGTGGACGTACGTGCGCCCAGCGAAGGAGGGGAGGCGATCACGACAGGCGACACATCGGCTCACTGAAAAGAAATCGCCGGCAGCGAGCCCGCCCTCAGAAAACGGAGGCTAAATCGTCAACGAGGCGTCGTCGGTCCTTCAGTCTCAACTCAGGTATAAATATAGCGCACGGCACGAGCAAGATCAAGAGCAAAAATAGCGGCCGCCCGGCCACACACGTGCGGCCGGCGGAGACACACGCCACTCCTTTGAAGTGGACGGGACACGTAACTCAGCCGGTCACGGCCGAGGGCGGCGGCCGGCCGACCGCGACCGAGCCGCACGGGCCGCGGCGCAGTGGAGAGCCTTCCGCGAACGGGCGCCTCCCGCGAGTGCGGTTAGCGCCGCATCCACCGGGGCCTGCGGACCGGGACACAGCTGCTGGGCCGGCTCAGAGCGGGCCATCCGTCTGGCCGGCCGGCCCGCCCCCGTCTGCATGCGCCGGCCGCGCCGCAGTTCGCTGAACACTCCCGGCGGAGGTGTTAGCTCCGTGTTCATTTCTCATACCTGACGACTCACATTACTTGAAGGCAGTCCTGTCATGCGCTGCTGCCGCGGCTGACTTTGAAGTAAAACAGCGCCGGGGAATTCTTATGGAGTGGAATATAACACCTGCTCACGTCGGTCACCACAAAGAAGAGCTGCACTTGGGAGCGGGCTCATCAGTGTTCAGCTATTCCAAAGGTCCCACCAAGCAAGGCGAAACATTGAATATCTCTGTTGGAGTCGAAATAACACACACAAATACATGAACTAGCGCTAATGGTGCATTTAATGGGATATAGTATGGAAAACTGGTTTGCTCCTTTTCTGAAACTGCATATGACAGGTTAGGTCCCAATGGCTCAGACAAAAACGTCATGTGTTCACGTCAAAAGAGATCGAGATTAAAAAAGCTTATATATTTTTGATTTTCAACTTCGGCAAACATCCACTGACCAACTACAGCAATGCAGCGCAAAGAACACTCTTCTGTGTCACTTACCGACTACCTGCACGTCCTTTGCCTTCTGCACGGTCCAGAAGAAGGGCGCACCGGAGGTGACCTCGCAGCGGTACGATCCGGCCGCGTCCAGGTCCACCTGGTTCAGGTAGAGGTCGTGCTCGTTGGACTGCGCCGTCTGCCGGGGACACGAGACAAGAGTAAGTGGGGGAGAGGGAGAAAGAGAGAAGGGACCAAAAGAGGAAGGCGTCTCTCTTTTTCTCTCTCTTTGAAAGCGGGTGGAAGAGGAAGGTGTCAGACCCTTTCAGTCTGGAGGTGGTAACATAAAACAGCATGCTAGCAATGACAAAGTGAGGCAATATATTTTTGGACAAAATAAAGAATTTATATGCCTTTGAAAAGATGCTGTGCTGGTGGAGAGGGCTATTTTGATTATTTTCAATCATTACCATGGAAAAATTGTCGACTCGCAAAAACTGTCCCATATCCGATGTCCGATGTCTCAGCTCTTACGAGCAATTATTACAATAACTACCAACTAATGGCCAATTGGATGCGTCCCGATAAGTAGCCATGGTAACCGATCCTCAGAGACCGCCGTTTTTGCCGCTCTTTCCGACAGCCAACACCTGAGCACGTAAGAGCTACGTGTGGAGCTAACGATGCCAGATAACCTGTCGGTAACAAGGTCCATTACAGCTCTGATCCCTCATTAGCCGCGCCAGTTTCGCCGCAGTCATCATCAGCTGCGGCGGATCCGGCGCAGAGCTTACAGAATGTATCTGTTCGTGTCGCAGTGGCCGCTAACGCAGCCACAAGACTCAGTGAACAGTTGCATTCTTACAGATGGATAAAGCCGCAAATAAGTAGTTCCAATTTCAATATATAGGGAAGGATCAGAATTACCAATCAACGGTCATGCAACGTAACAATCGCAGTAAATACGGAAAGTGAATAAATAGATCTTCATCCAAGTATGCCGTCCAAGTATGATAGATCTTCATCCTAGTACCTATCCAAGTAGCACCCAAGTATGCCGTAATTAGCTTGGAGCTACAACTCGAGGTAAGTAAGATCAAACATGAATAGATCCATATCTAACGCCCTCGTTGACATTAGTCGTCCGAAAAATTCCTCTTCATTTGGTCTATTGACAAACCTGTTTCATGGTTGATTGTATCTCACACTACCTGTGTGATCGTGATGCGAAATGAATCAAATTCGAATACCTATTCAATGTGCAGAATACCACCTATCATTCTGCGAACTACATAAGAAGACCGTTCATGAGCTTCCATGGGCCTACAGCACTTCAGGAGGCCAGGGAGGCCTAGAATGACATCACCTCCTCCTCCACCCACCCCCTTCCCCCTGCCGACCTCGGAAACTGACATGAACCATCCGCCCCACCCCCCTCAGCCTCCATCCCCGGGCACCCATCAGCGCTGGACGTGGCAGCGCTGAGTTGAGCTTGCCACCTCTGCGGCCACCTCAGCTGACAGACGTATGCGCCAGGCTGACAGACGGATACGCCATGCGTACGGAGGCTGCTGCGCACTGGCGTGCTGTCGTGACAGGCGATAGGGTGACGGTCGATCGGTGTGACCTCATCGTGGCGAAATGTGCGCCAGACGACTAATGGCGCAACGTGCGTTGAGCGACATCAGTTAACCCGCGCGGGGCTGGGGTCTCCAGCCGAACGCGCGGGGCTGGGGGGGGGGGTAAATTTTACCCCCCCTGTTATCTCCCGAACTAATGGTCCGATTTGGAAAATTCAAACGCCAATCGAAAGCTCTCATCACGAACTACTAAAAACATGTACTTAATTTAAAGTTTGAGGTCAAGGTCAAGGTCAGGTCAAGGGTACAAATTGCAAGTTTCTACAGTATCGGCCTTGCACCGTAGTTGCCGAAGAATGGAGTCATGGACTGAGACTGATCGCCCAAAACGTGTTCTTAGGCTACCAAGACAATATTCGTTGCATACAATATCATTCAGAGGTCAAGGTCAAGGTCAGGTCAGGTCAGGTCAGGTCACCAAAAAACAAAATATAGAAAAGGGCATGTGCGACACATGTTTTATGGGTCATTTTACTCATAGAATTCAATAGGCACACTCAATAAGTGATATGGACCACCTCTGGATGAATTTCAGGTCGAGGTCAGGTCAAGGTCAGGTCAAGTGAGGTCAAATTTTGAAGTTGGTTGTTAAGGCCTAAAAAGGTGTCTATCTGATGCAGTTTTTCACGGCGAATCGAATGGTGCTATTTTTGTTTCCGTACGAGGTCTAGAACTTCCAAAAAAGTCATTTTTCAAAAATTTTGTGTGTCGTGACGTCATAAAATTTTGAATAACTCCCACATTTTTGAACCGATTCTTCTAAAATTTGGTATGTAGGTGCACATAGACCACTTCTCTGACATATATTCCGGTTTTTTTGATAGACTCAAAATTTTGGATTTTATAATGATTTTCCCAAAAAAGTCAGTTTTTTGAAAAAAATTAGGCCAAAATCCAAAATTTTCAAAAAACCGAGATAGGCATTTGATAGACAAAGTAAAATTACGTATAACCTTTTTTGTTACGTCTTGATTCCTTTAAAAATGAAGATGTTAGCGGCGTTTGAACTTTTGCCGTTTTTGAGGCGAAAATGGCGAACATGACGTCACTAAAACGTCAATTTCTCAAAACTTTTCCGACGGATTTCGCTCAAATTTTCAGGGAACGTGTCAAATTGATGTAAGAAAAGGTACTGAAAGTTTGGCGGCGCTGCGCGCCGCCGTTTTTGAGATATCGCAAAAATTCGCGAGGGGGGGTAAAATTTACCCCCCCCAGCCCCGCGCGGGTTAAATGAACTGCATATAGGTATGGTTCAAAAGACTACCATACCTATAAAGAAAGAAAAAATCAGTTCAAACTCACATTGACGACGAATCCATCCACGGGGAATGTGATGACTGGCTGCAGCGAGCCCGGCTTGTATCGGTAAAACTCGCGCGAGTTTTTGTACCACTTGACCGAGTAGATCTGCTCGTCCTGGGCGCTGTAGTCGCAGCGCAGGTGACCCGTGTGACCTCGCACGACGTACGGCGGAACGATGACGTCATTCATCACCAGCGCCACGCAGGCTGCAACAGACACAGAGTGACGTCATTAAAACACACAGACATACACGTCTAGGAACTATATTAGTTATACCTACATACTAAACTGATATGTGTTTTCTAAGCATGTGCCTGTCATTTCTGTGTTAAAGATAATTTAAGTTCCGTATCAGTTATACATGTCAACTCGCATGTCATATGGAAGTTAGATTAGCTGAAAATAAATGACACCCAAATATAAGGAACGCATATCCGTCGATGCTAAATCGCGGCGATGATGAGACCTGGAATTCTGATGAGGTCAGCACATTGCTCAATGAGACCCGCGCGGACGACTGCGTCGCGGCTCTGCGTCTGCCCTGTGAGGCGATGACCTCAGGAGACGGGGCGACGACTGGCCGTTACATGACAGAGTACACACGGCCGGTGTTTTCCTCGGCAGTAACCGGCACAGTTAGTGCCGTCACGATGGGCCGTTTTTACTGCCGGGGACACTGCGCTGACGGGCTCTGGTCAGCTCGTAACGAGCCCCATGATGCCACGCACTGGTCCAGGGGGTATGGCTCGACCACGCTGTCTGAGTCAGGTCCGGAGAGTTCACAGAACGGGCGGCTACACCAAGAGCTGTGCACAGGACCGGAAGGCCAGCTCGTCCACCCACTGCCAGAGGACTGTGGAGCACCACGGTGAACACCTGCACTATGACACAGGGAGTGCGGTGTCGAGTTAGAACCACCGTATGTTGCTTCACTGTGATATCATCAGATGGCGTGGCAGATAGCATCACCCTCTCCTACAACAACCGAGGAACAGTGAGTAGTTTGACAAAATACACTTTGCCTATACCTGACATATGCCTATGCCTTAAATATACATTATGCCTTACCTATGCCTTACATATACCTGCCTTACATACAACTTAGTGCTCCAGCAAGCGAGGGACAGTGAGTTCGAACAACCAGACGCCGGGCGCAGACCACCATTTCCGGCTATAACGCAATGAGTGCTTGTGATTCACAATCAGTGCTTGTTAGTTGTCACTGCTGTGGCGGCGAGCGAGACGCTCGAAGCTCGCCAAATCGGAGCGCTCCACGTGCCGAGTGAGACACGCAGATCGGGCTGAATGCGCAGGGAATGGGAGTTTGAGAAGTAGGAAGACATGTGGTTAGTCATCGCTAATGCTGCTTCTAATCGCGGGCGCCCGAACGAGCAGACCAAGTCAAAACATTTCACCTCTTCGATGGCTTAGTTAAATCTTCCATGATTGATTGCGGCTTTGACTAGAGATATAGACGTAAGCCAGAGATTGCCCAGCCGCGGCTGCTGCCCAGCTGTTCTCACCTCCTCACAAAATATCACCAGCTGCATCACATCAAACTGAATCTATCTGATACAGCGTGACACATGATTGGCAACCGGCCTGCTAAAAAGGTCACCACACACTTACCCCTCTGTCCTTTTGGCATGACAGTGGCACCCACCGGCCTACTATCCTCTGTGGGACACGCTACCCCTCCCCACGCTCCCTGCCCTCCTGTCGGTGCCACCCCCGATCCATCTCTCTCCGGTGCGGCCGAGGCGGCAGACGCGCTGACACAGCCGCTCCAGTCTGTCCCACTCACACTCCCACACGCAGACGGTCGACCCGAACGGCCGTGTTGACCTGACCAGGACCGGTGCTGGTCCCGGAGTGATCCCGCGCCGGAGGGGCTGCCGGACAGCCGTAAAAACGGGCGGACCGGCCCTGTGGGATCTGAACGGCACGAGCGGGGCGAGCGGCTCAGTTCGGCTGACCTCAGCGAGTCCCATTCGGTAGGAGGAAACACTGCGCACGATTTTGAGGTTTGCTGGGGGATAAATGACAAGAGGGTTCTTTCATCAGGTATCGAATATGAAAACCTGCGTCAGATGAGTTTGATTTCACCAAACATATCCATTTGTGCTCGTTCCTGTTCTTCTGCATGCTCACCCCTGCGCGTTTCTGTTCATCACTGTTCACTGCGCATTCACCCCTGTTCACCCATGCCCCACTCCGCTCATGTCTGTTTCACCTCGTGACAAAAACGGCGCACAGACACACAGGCCGGTCGAGGGGGTTGACGCTGCTGGCGTAAAAACGCCCCCGGCGACTTGCCCACTCGGGGATCGGAGCGAACAAAAATGGCCGCGGTGCCGAGTGACGGCCGTCAGTTCAAGTCTCTCCAGATACACCGGGTGGTCTCTGACGGAGCCCAGACCGACTGGGGTGCAATTCAGGAGGGGTGAGCACGGGCCGCCGCCGACGATCCCAGCATTTCAGAGATTACTACCAGAACACCAACGAGATCGGGTAGCAGATATCGTGATTCGCGGCCCACGAATCGTGGGCTTCGGTATGATCGATTTTAGCAGGAGGCACGCTACTTTTACAAATATCACACATATTGGGGATAAGTGATTCAATTTATTATCCTCAAATCATTGTAATTCACAGACGACCGATAAAAAGGCTAGAAAGTAATTTTTCCGGAAAATTCTGAGTTGCAGCAGCTCTGAGCCAGGTCGGTATTTCACCAGCTCGTTTCCGTTCCCTGTTTACCTAGGGCCGGCGGCGCGGCCGGTTTTATTTTGTCGTCTGCTGCCGGCGGCACCGCGGTTCGTGCCGGCGGCACCGTGCCGTCAGCTCTCGTCAGTGACGCTCGGCCGCGCCCCGTGGTCCGCCGTGCAGCCGCGGAGCCTCATTAACGGGGCCGGGCACGCCACGGAGGCGGCCTGCGACTCTCCAGACACCGGCACTCCCCGGCAGCGACCAGGTGCCGCCGGCGCACCCCGGGGCATCGCCCGCCGCCCCCTCCAACCTGAGGCGACCGGTGAGCACGTGACTCGGACGCCTGAGGGGCGCCCTCGAGCCATGGACTCGAAACTTATTCCTTACCAACTCAAGACAACATTGAGTCTCATCATAGCCTCTTTCTAAGGAGCGTCCAGTAGTTTTTTGGTTTTTTACATAAAAAGTTTTAGATGTAATCCAATATCTATTGCATTATAATTAGTGTAATGAATGAATTAATTAAAAACAATGAAGCGCAGCCGCTGGATTTTCATATATCAGACTGTGTCCAAATATGCCAATCTAAAATTCAAGAATTTCGGCTGGGAATCTGAGGCTCAGAAGCCGACATATCGTAGACTGGTGAAGATGGCGGTGAAACACGCCAGTACAGCCCATATATTCGATAATACTCGTGCAGCCGCCAACCAATGGTCTGTTAAACAGCCAGTTTCAGGAAGCGGCTAACTGTCGTCAGGTGCGGCTGGCAGGGGCGGATCCAGGAAAACTCCAAGGGGAGGGTCATGAATCGAAGTGGTGCCCCTACCTATAGGGGAGAGTGGGGCAAAGCGGCCACCCTAACGTTTCTAACGATGCCGACGCTTGATTTTTAAACTTGGAAAGATTCTTTCTATACCAATGTGATCCCTATTAAATTGTCTTTTATTCCAACTGCGTTTCATTTCCAAAGGCGTTCACATATGGGAGATATTGACAAAACTTTAAGCCTATAGCATATTGGCCACTTTGCCCCATCCCTGAGGCAAAGCGGCCACTGGCGACTTCTCAAGTCCCGATATGAGAAACAGAATAGTTGCCTCATGCACGACTAGGGTATTTGATGGTGACAAGGTTTAAGGGAAGATTGATGTTTACTTTGTTATCTTCCCGCCTATTGCTAAACAAAGAAAGAATTTTCTTGGAAAAACATTTAATTGCATAATTTGGTAACTCATGTAACCAAAAAGTGGCCAAGATGAATGCATGACGACACATTTGAATATAAATAATGTTTTTATCCAGATGGAAACAACTTATGGCCAATTGGGGGCTGGCCACTTTGCCCCGGCCGCTTTGCCCCGCGCATACCGTCCGAGACAAAAATATTCCAGCTCAGCTATTAGTGGGGTAAAAAGCATTAAAATTGGTAGAAGGCATTTACGATAACCACGCAATGCATGGACAAAAACGCTTATAAAAATTCCAAACGGTTATGGAATAAAATAACATTTAAAAATTGTAAACATAATTGGTAACCTGGCAAGAAATGCTTTTCCGTGTTTCACAGAACAATGGCGATGGGCCTGAAACCCCGGTCTGGCTCATTCGAACGACCGCAAAGAAAAGTATAATTGGAAATCATAAATTGGAACTGACGCCAGCTGTGGAGGGCTAAAACGATGGATGGCCGCTTTGCCCCGGGTGGCCGCTTTGCCCCACTCTCCCCTACCCAAAATTAAAAACTCAACGGATTTCGTCCACTTCATTTTGGTGGTGCCCCCATTTTCAGTTTTTTTATTTTTATTTTTTATTTTTAGTCAGTATCTTAACTCTTAGCCACAACCACATTTACCAATTGTAAGCAAGTATATATGAATGTGCTATGTGTATATATGTTGTGGACGCTGAGTAGTGAGTACTTACCAGGAACGTTATCAGGTAAGCAAATCGTTGTCAGTCCGACGAACTTGACCCTGGCGTCTAAAGGGTCTGTCCTTGACACTTCAGGCTTGTCAGGGGCACCTACGGCCTTGTAGGGGCGCCACAGGTCCGCCAGGGGCACCACAGGCCTGCCAGGAAGCAGGGGCACCGCAGGTCTAGCAAGTATACACGGCAGGCCTGTCAGGGGCACAACGGGCCTGTTGGGCCCATGAGCACCCCTAGGGGCAGGGGCGCCACAGTCCTTCCAGGGGCACCCCAGGCCTGTGAGGGGCACCAGCGGCCTAGCAAGGGCACCAGTCAACACAGGCCTGCCAGGGGCACCACAGACCTGCCAGGGGCACCAGAGGCCTGCCAGGAGCACCACCGACCTCGCAGGGGTAACTTGGGCCTGTCAGGGCCCAGGGGCACCACGGGCCTGTCGAGAGGCACTTCAGGCTTTTCAGGGGCACCATAGTCCTCTCCGGGCGCAGGGGTAGCAGGGGCACCAGAGGCCTGCCAGGGGCACTACAGGCCTAGCAAGGGCACCACTGGTCTATCAGGGGCACCACGAGCC